GGAGTATCCGGCCTGAGGAAGCCCCCAGGGTCCTTAGGACAGACCCCCAGCAAATGAGCCAGCAGGTGGCAGGTGGCGGGTCAGACGCCAGCAAGAGGGCACTCTCTCCCTCGGTGACAGCCGCTGCAGTCCCGAAGCAGGTGACGGCCACCCCGTCCGGGCTGACCTCTGGCCCCACAGCTTCTGCCTCGCAGGCCTTTCCTGGACCCACAGAAGAAAAGTCTGGACCCTTTTACCCAAGAGCTCCCAGATGCCCAGGATGACCCCATCCTCTGTATTTACTTTCAAATGCTCCATGCACTCTGTCCATCAAGAATTCTGTTACAGGGGCGCCTGGGGGCTCAGTGGGTTAAGCCTCTGCCTTCGGCTCAGGTCATGATCTCAGGGTCCTGGGATCGAGCCCCACATTGGGCTCTCTGCTCAGCGGGGAGCCTGCTCCCCCCCACCCCCGCCTGTCTCTGACTACTCGTGATCTCCATCTGTCAAATAAATTAATAAAATCTTAAAAAAAAAAAAAGAATTCTGTTACACACAGGGCCTACCCCTCCACGCCCTGCGTCTCTGTCCTTCTTCCCAGAGGGGCCCACCGTCCTTTCCTTCAGTTCCAGCGTCCGTTTGCTTTCCGGAGACGCTGCGTGTGCGCCCGTGTCCGTGGGACGCGCTGTTCTGCCGGGATGCGACCGTGAGGGTTCTGCCCCAGCTCTTCCTGCTCCACGACAGGCTCCTGGGCTTCAGCCGTGCGGCTGTGCCCCCACGGTGGGGTCCGGTGAGCACAGCCCGGGAAAGGCAAGCACCAGCGCCTGGAGGGTGCGGAGCCGCGGGACCTGCTGCAGCCCCACTGCTGGGGACAGGATGCGCACGCCCACTCCGGAGAGCCGTGTTTGGTTCCGTGAGGGCGTGCGATCCCCTCCCAGACGGCCTCGCAGGCCAGGAGGCCTGGGCACGGGTGCTCCGGTGGCGCTGGGTACCAGGACCCACATCCCCACCCCCTCACTCACGGCACTCTCATCCGTGAGCTCCTGGGAAGGACCACGCGCAGGGCACTTGCCCAGGGCGGGCCGAAGCAAACCGTCTGGGTTCAGGCCCAGAGGTATCACCGTCGCGCCTCAGAGGAGAAGCTGGGACTCGGAGAGTTTAGGGGTCTCTGGAGGACTCCCACTCGGGTGTGCCTCGAGAGCCGGTGGTCTGCACAGCCTCCCCTGCAGCCTTGCCCCACTGCTCCAGGCATGCGGTGAAGGGGGTGTCTGTGCCCTCCATCAGGGGGGTGCCCAGCCCACACTCAGCCCCGGCTGTGGTCCGTGAGGCAGCAAACGCCCGTCAGGGGCTCCGTGTGGGGAGGCCCTGGTGGCCCAGCCCGCATCCCCAATCCCAGCTCCAGCGTCCCCCAGCAGCTCCCCTGTCCTTCTCTGTCCACTTCTCCCAAAGCTGGGCGGGCCGGTGGTGGAGGGGGAGGGAGACTCAACTCTAACCAGGCCAATGGGACTTGTGTCCCAAGTCGGTCACCTCCTGGCTCCATGTGGCCTACGGTGGCTCCATGTGGCCTATGGTGGCCCCAAGTCAGATGACAGGAGAAGCACGAGGGATGGCAGAGACTAGACTTCTCTGTGCGTCCCTCTCTCTGACTCGTGCTGTGACCCCAACGGCTTCATGCCCAGAGTCTGACAGTCCAGATTCTGACCGTGTGGCCTTGGACGGGTCACTCACCCTCTCGGAGCCGTCTCCTCCAGTGGAAACCAGGCACCATCACAACACTATTACCTGCCTCACTCCCTAAATCTTAGTTTTCAGACATTCAGTTCTGGCGGGAGGATGGAGGCTTCTTGAGGCAACAGCGGCCCCTGGTGCCACACCCCGCTACAGGCGGCGGACCGGCCGGTGGGGAGCCGGGAGCCGGGAGCCGGAAGGCTGCCTCTCTGTGGGGTGCTCACCGAACCCCTGGCCCGGAGTGCCCACAGACGGAAGGGGACAGCACGTCTCGTCTCTGTACCTTCTCTCCGGGAGCGGCCCGTCCATGCTCATGGTCCCCCCACCTGTCCCCCCGTCCACCCACCTCAATCCTCCCCAGTGACCTTCCTAAGACACAAGTCTGAGCAGGTTACCCCGTGACTGAGGTTAAAACCCTTCCATGGCTCCTCGCTGCCTTGAGGGCAGAGGCCCCACTTTAACCCCACAGCACCCTGCTCTGCCCGCCTGTCTATGGGTCCCATGGTTTGGCCCCCTTTGTCCAATATGGCCAGAAGCTCCGGGACGGGTGCCCACAGGGGTCCTCCGTGATTCCCTCACAATATTTATTCAGAGCACGCGGTGCCCCCAGCATTCGAATCTCGGGAGTGCTGTTCCAGTACATTCATGAGAAAACCAAGACCCAGAGCGGTACACTGACGCCTCCAAGTGGCCTAGAGGGATAGGGCTCTTTGTGCAGTGCTCTTTCCACCCTACCTGCTGTCTGTGCGTCAGCCGCCTGGCCAGGATGGAGGCTGGGAAGGCCCCCTGCCCTGCTGCGGAGGAGAGACCCCCACGCCAGGCCCAGCCGGCTGGCTGGAAGGAGGGGGACAGGGAGGCAAAGGGAGGGGCCGGCATCTCCCTCTGCAATCCCTTCAGGACCTCTGGCAGACGCCCTCCGAGCTTCTTTGTGGGAGGGGGAAACGGGGCTGAGTGCTGCTTAGCCAGTGTTGTAGTCAGCCCCCCTCAGGTGTGGACCCCCCCCGGGAGGGCTATGGCCCCATGGCAGCTCCTTTCATGGCATCTGCTTGGCACACCCACACCTCACCTGTCCCTCCCTGGGGCGCCCTCTGTCCCCGCCATCCCCATCCAGAGTCTGTTTCCCTAACTCAGCCAGGCCCAGAGGGAGATGAGCACACTCCTGGCCCAGGAGTGGGACCCCAGCGTGCCCTTCAGGCAGCACCCCCCCCCCGAAGACTGGTCCCCTCGGGAGCCCACACCCTCTCGCCTTGGGGAGGCATCACACTTCTCCTCTGAGCGGAGGAGGGAGAAGCTGCAGCCTGCCTTCTGGAGCGGCACCCCAGCACATGTGGATGGGGCACAGAGACCTTCCCAGCGGCTCTGGGATGCTCCTCTGGGGGGTGTGGGGCTCAGAGGCTCCCTCTTCTAGCTCTGGAGCTTCGCTGGGACAGGAGCAGACTGAGAAAGCCTCCATCGAACATTGCTCTAGGTTCTCTTGCTGCCCGGACTTCTTCCTCTGGGATCAATTCCAACCCCTCAAAGTCCCTCTGAAAACACAGTGTCCAGAACTATTCTCCATGTACTGAGGGCAACGGGGCTCTCACCTCTGGTCTGGACACCCTGCGTCCATTAACCACTCACTGGGTTGGGCAGCCATTTCCCAGCACTGGTTCACGACAAGCTGTGGTCCGCTAAGACCCTCGGGCTGTCTTCAGCGGAGATGCTCTCCTCTTCACTGGTCCCTTCTTACTCCTGCTGACTTTGAAACCAAAAGCAGATTTCTACATTTATCCTCATTAAACGTCATTGGGTCCATTTTTTCCTATTTGGTCAAATTCTAACTCTCGGCTCCTGCATGAGCCTTAGATCGGACAAATAAGGTCTACGCTTTCCTTCTGCTCTTCAGCAAACATCCGTGGCTGTCAATCTCTGGGGATGGCCACTGAACTCTATCTGCCCTCTGGAGTGTCATGTGGCCCATGTGGCCTGGGCCCCGGGGACAAAAGTGCAGCCGAAAGCCTCACAAAAGCCCCAGGAATCCAGTACAGCCCCAGGGCAGGGGAGAGGAGGCCATTTGGCTCTCCAGGCACCCTCTGAGTGCCCGCTGGCCCCCACGGAGGGCCTTCTTCCCCTGAACATGTCATGGCTTCAAGTATCACTTACCTGTTGGCAGTCGGCTGAGCACTTCTGCAGCTCCGCCCCTGACGACTGGGCTGGAGGATGCCCTCCTCCAGAAGGCCCGCCCATGGCTCCCACCCCAGTGATTTCTCGGCTTCCAGAATGCAGAATCCTCAAAGGTTTTGCGGATTCGGTCCCAGAGCGCCAGTAAGACGTGGGAACACGATCCCGCCCCTTACAAGGACTAAGAAAGGGACTGGCCGTGACCAGGAGGGCCCCTTCTTTCGGCTCCCTTCCTCCTCGAGGCCCCGCCACTCACCACCGGGGGGCACTCTCTGCCCACTACACGCCTCGTGACACCGAGGGCGGGAGGGGGCCCCCCCTTTCCTGGGAACTGGGGGCCCCCCTTTCCTGGGAACTGGGGGGGCCTTGCCCTCCCCGATCAGTGGGTTTGTGAGCCTCAGGCCCAGGGAAGAGCGGCGGGAAGCACCGAGCCGAGCTGTGGGCGGGCACCGCCCCCTGCATCTCCCAGCGTCCTGGCGTCTGTGCACACGCCGCGCCTCCGGACAGAACGTCCTTGCACTCGCTCTCCGCGCGGGGTCCCCCCCACCCCCGTCCTCTCTGCGATGCCGCCTTCTCCAGGGCGAGACAAACCGACGTCCTGTGAGAGGCCCATCATCGCTCCCATTTTGTGGATGAAGAAACTGAGTCCGAGGACTTCGTAAGCGGTACCTCTGCTGCGGGTGCTGAGGAACAGGGACCCGCCCCGCTGCCGACCCCCCCCCCCCGCCATGCCCGCCCGCCCCCCTAGGCGTCGGTCCCCGGCCCCCTCCACAGGCCCAGCTCTGGGCACGGCCTCCCCCGCAGGCAGCCTCTCGTGGGATCGGGTTCCCCAGGCAGGCGTCGCGCTGGCTCCAGCTCCCGCACAGCGCGGCGCACGGACGCGGGCCGGACCCGCTTCCCGAACTCCAGGGGTTAAGGCCCGGGTCCCGCCCCTTTTCCCGCCAGGCTGGCGGGAGTATGAATAGCCTCGTTCCCACTCCCGACGCTCAGTCGCTCGGCTGCTCCTCGCCCCGCCCCGTCATTGTCCCCGGAGGTCTCCTTTCCCCTCCCCGTGCATCCTAAGAGCTGTGAGAGTTGCTGGCTTCTCCCGCTGCCCGGCGTCTCGCCGCCTTCGGTGGGTCAGGCTCGCGAGCAAGATGGAGGGCTGCCTGGGGGAGGAATCTTTTCAGATGTGGGAGCTCAACCGGCGCCTGGAGGCCTACCTGGCGCGGGTGAAGGCCCTAGAGGAGCAGAATGAGCTGCTCGGCGCGGAGCTCGGAGGCCTCCGGGCACAGACCGGGGACGCCTCCTGGCGCGCCCGTGCCGACGACGAGCTGGCGGCCCTGCGGGCCCTCGTCGACCAGCGCTGGCGGGAGAAGCACGCGGCCGAGGTGGCGCGCGACAACCTGGCGGAAGAGGTGGCGGGCGTGGCAGGCCAGTGCCAGCAGCAGAGGCTGGCGCGGGAGCGGGCGGCGGCCGAGGCGGCCCGCATCCGGCGTGCGGCCGAGGCCGAGAAGTGCGCCCAGACCCGGCTGAGCGCCCGGGCGGCGGAGCTGGAGCGCGAGCTGGAGGTGGCGTGCGCGGCGCACGAGGAGGAGCGCGCGGTCCTGAGCGCCCGGCCCCGCGCCCCCAGCCGCCCCGCCGCGCCCCGCGGGCCCCCCGTGCCCGCCCCGGAGCTGGAGGAGCTGGCGCGGCAGCTGGGCGACGCGTGGCGCGGGGCGGTGCGCGGCTACCAGGAGCGCGTGGCGCGCATGGAGACGTCGCTGGGCCAGGCCCGCGAGCGCTTGGGCCGCGCGGTGCAGGGCGCCCGCGAGGGTCGCCTGGAGCTGCAGCAGCTGCAGGCGGAACGTGACAGCCTCCGGGAGCGCAGGGCCGCGCTGGAGCAGAGGCTGGAGGGCTGCTGGCAGGAGCGGCTGCGTGCCACCGAGAAGTTCCAGGTGACAGGGGCGGGGCGGGGCGGGGAGCCGTGCGGTCCCCGTGGGGCTCAGGGACCTGGGGAAGGCAGTGGGGAGCGGGAGTGGCGGTGGCTGCCCAGTCGGGAGCCACTTCTTAGAAAGCCCATCCTGGTGCCAGAAGCCCCTGACTTCCCCCACTTTGTCTAGAGTAGGGTGGGGGGTTCAGAGCCGCGGCAAAGAGCACACCCCTGGCCTGCCAGGAGGGACAGGGGAGGGACAGGCATAGGACGGACGGTGGCAGCGGCCTCCTCACTGTCTGGCCATGACCACCCCCCCCCCCCCCCCCCCCCCCTTGCTCCTCCCGGGCTCTGGTGTTGCTCACCAGAGCAACCAACTCATGACCCCTCCCAGCCCCCATCACCCCCCAGCGCTGAGTCTGCCCAGTTCCTAACTGCCCCCTCCCCCTGACAAGAGGGGGTCAGTAGGGCCCCATGTGCAGCCCCAGTCCCACTCCTCTGTAACTTCTGCTCAGCTCCCCCCCAGCACATTCCAGAGCCCGGGACAGCTGCTCCCCATGACACAGCGTGGATGGGAGCAGCAGCTGAGAAAATGGCCTCCCGCCTGGGCTACACAGAGGTCAGGCCGCCGCCACCTCCCACCCCTCCTCTCAGAGGAGAAAGATTCCAGAACATGTGGGAAGTGGAGGGGGTGGAGGCCTCGTGTGAGGACGGGAGACAGTGATTGGAACCGGGACTGCGGGCTCCAGGCCTCTTGATGAATCGTTTTTCCTTCTGCGTCCACTTTTGTTCCCCTCTCCTCCCTGGAACCCATCTCCTCTCCTCCCTCACCTCCCCCTTCCTGTGGGAGCTGCAGTCCCATTCACTCCCCTGGGAGAGGGCCGGGAGGGGTCGCAAACCTCGGAAACCCCAGAGGGGGTGCCCTGGGCAGAACGTAGGGGAGTAGAGGGGGGATCCACCAGGGAGCAGAGGGAGCTGCGGCCCAGGGGGCCCCGGGTTAGTTAGTGGGGGAAGCCTGCCCCTTCACGGGCTGTCCCCCCTTGTTCTGCAGTCCACTGTGGAGGCTCTGGAGCAGGAGAAGCTCGGCCTGCAGGGCCAGACCGCCCAGGTGCTGGCAGGTCGGCGGCAGCTGGCAGAGCTCCAGATGTCCCTCAGCCTGGAGGTGGCTACCTACAGGTACGGGTTTCCGGGCCCGGCCAGGCACACGGATGCACACACCCCTTCCGAGGCCGGGTCACCACCAGAGGGGCCCAGAGCCATGGGTGGTGGGAACTGGGCTGCCGCTAGGTGCTGTGACTCCGGGCCGATTCCTACCCCACTAGGGCGTGTCCCACCGGAGTCCACCTGCTCCGGTGTGTGCGCAGGAACGAAAAAGTCTCCTGAGCCTAGGAGATCCCCCAAGGGCAGGTGATGCTGCTGAGTGGGACGGCTTCAGGAGAGACCGCTGGACACACAGGCGTTGGGGGGGGGGGCTCTCCATCCAGACCCCACCTTGAGGCTGAAAAGCCCAGTCTGTGTGTGTGTATGTGTGTGTGCGCGCGCACACATGTGTGTGTGTGCGCTCACGCCAAGGGGATGAAGTCCCAGGCAGCCGCACAAAGGATGAACTGCAGGTTGGGGCCAGGGGTACCCGACCTGGGCCTTGGTCTCCTTGTCTGGAGGTGGGAGAGGGGCGGGGTGACATCCAAGGCCCCTTCCATCCTGAATGTCACAGGCCTGACTCCCGTTGAGCCCCAGCCCCCTGGCCCTGCCCAGCCCTACCGCTGATCACATTTCCTGTTGGCTCCAGAAAGGCTGAGACCGAGGAAGTGCCGCCTCTCTCAAAGCCACAGTCTCTTCTGGGAAATTGGCCTGGGGGGTTGGGGGGGACCCCGGGATGGAGTTTGAGGATGGGGCTTTGCCTTTGGCCGGGGCCAGAGCTAGATATGCAAGGACAGTACCCCGAGAATACACAGGCCGACCAAGACAGGGACCCCGGGACAGGATCAGGAGGTCAGGGAAGGCAGGGCCCCGAGAGGGAAGGTCAGTGAGGGTCCTGGGATGAAGAAGAGGACACCGAGCTCAGAGAGTCAGAGCCCTGTGGGGAAGGACAGAGGTGAGATCACGGCAGACACTAAGCAGACTCAGAGTCCTTGAGAGGAGCAGGGAGTGGATGCTCAGCATCCCCCCCGCCCCCCCCCCCCGTCCCTGGACCCTCCTCATTCCCCGTGGGGCACGGAGGCAGGGTCATGGACACAAAGACTGCCACTGCCCCCAAAGGCTTGGGATCCAGAGTACTTAGAGATCCCAGGATGAGGGCTTCGACCCCCAGTCAAACCACCCAGGGAAAGAGTCAGGGCCGGCTTAACCACTGGTTTTTGAGGCATGAAAAGGATTTGGAGAGAGAGAGCAGAATTCATTTGCTTTTGTCTGTGACCAGCTTTGGGGGCCCTGGGGGAGAAGGAGGGAGCCTATCCCATGGGAACAGCGTGAGAATTCCCACTTCCCCTGGGAAGCCCCCCACTCAGACCCTCCAGACTGCACTATGGACAAAGGCGGTGATTAGCATGAGAATCGGCCCCACAGGGAGGATGAGATCACTGGCCTGAGGTTGGGGGTGGGGGGGGCTGTGTGGGTGTGTGCACACTGTGTGGACTGTGTGGGAATCCGCTGTGTGTGAGTCTGGCCATGTGTCCCAAGCATGTGTGCAATGCTGTGGTTTGTGTCCATGGGACTCCCCGGGCTCAGCCAAGTGTGACCCCACGCGTGGCTTTTGCGGCAGTGGGAATGAAGAGGAAGCTGGCAGGGCCAGGGACACAGGCTCAGCAAGTCCTCCCAGGCCAGCTTGCCAGAGGCCTGCGGACAGACGGCTGACCCGGCATCTCCTCCCTCATCCCCAGGACCCTCCTAGAGGCTGAGAATTCCAGGCTGCAGACCGCTGGTGGTGTTTCCAAGGCTTCTCTCTGCTTCCAGGGTAAGAGGAGGGGCCAGGACCCCCGCCCCCCACTCTCTCCTTCTTTGCTCTTTAAGCCCCAGAGTAATTCCTATCCTGGGAGACCCAGTCTAGGTCTTGAGTCCTTGGCCTCCAGTACCAGTGAGTGGACTCTCAGCCCAGCCAGTGAAAGGTGGGGCAGGGCTCACGGGCACTCTTGCCAGAAGTGGTAGCTGCTTCGAAACTCCCCGCCAGTCCCTACTGACACTGTCTCTTCCCCTCTGCCTTTCCAGACCCTAAGCTGGAGCTGCATTTCCCTGGGACCCCAGAGGGCCGGCATCTGGGACCTTTGCTCTCTGCCCTGAGCCCTACTTCCCTCTCCTTGCCCTTGCCTGATACCCTTGAGACACCTGTGCCAGGCTTTCTGAAGAGCCGAGAATTCCTCCAGGCCCGTACCCCAACCCTGGCCAGCACCCCCATCCCCCCCCACACTTCCGGCTCCCTGCACTGCTACAGATGCAGAGATCAGAACCCAGGATGCCCCCCTCTCCCTGCTCCAGCCACAGATTGGGAGGGAGCAGGCCCCAGAAGCTATGCGGGCCCTGGCCATCCCTTCCAGCATTCTGCCAGGACCAGAGGAGCCTGGGGGCGAGCAACAAGAGGTCTGTACTGGCCAGTCTTCTGAGGATCACACCTCCTTGGCCCCGCCCCTCAGCCCAGACCCCTGTAGCTTAGAGGCCAAAGGGAGAGAACCCAGTGAGTCTAGAATGGCTAGCAGATTCCAGGACGAAGGTGAAGGGCAAATCTGGGGGCTGGCAGAGAAAGAAACCGCCACAGAGGTCAAAATGGTGAACAGTTTGCAGCAGGAAACACAGCAAGAAGATGGGGGACTGAACATGAAGGAGATCCAGGACTCCCAGGGTCCTTTGGAAGAAGAAACTCTGAAGTCTGTGGAAGAGGAAATTCAAGAGCCACTGATGTCTCTGGAAAAACAGAGCCACGAGACACTGAGATCTCTAGAGGAGAATCCAGAATCTCTGAGGTCTTTAGAAGAAGAGAGGTTAGACACATCAAAGGGTCTAGAAAAGGAGAATCAAGAGCTATTGACATCTTTAGAAGAGAAGGATGCAGAAGTAGTGAGACCTCTAGAAAAAGAGACTCAAGGGCTACTTAAACCTGTAGGAAAAGAGGACCCACAGACATTGCAATCTCTAGAAAAGGAGAATCGAGAACTAATGGGGTCTCTTGAAGGTAATGTAGAGACATTTTTATATCCAGAAAAGGAAAATCATGTGTTAGTAAGGTCTCTAGAAGAGAACTTTGAGTCGATGAGAGATTCAGAAAAGGAGAATCAAGAGCCATTGAGATCTCTAGAAGATGAGAATCTAGAGAACTTGAGACTACTAGAAAAAGAAAACCAAGAGTCTCTCAACTCTCCAGAAGGTGAGAAGCATAAGACCTTGAGACCTCCAGAAAAAGAGAACCAAGAACCAGTGAGGTGTCTAGAAAAGGACGACCAAGGGACATTGAGGCCTCTAGAAAAAGAGAACCAGGATTCCTTGAGGTCTCTAGAAGAAGAGGACCAGGAATCAGTGAGACCTCTAGAAGAAGAATACCAGGAGCCAGTGAGGTCTGTAGGAGATGAGAACCAGGAGACATTGGGATCTCTAGAAAAAGAGAACCAGAGGTCCTTGGGGTCTCTAGAAGAAGAGGACCAGAAGATAGTGATATCTGTAGAAGAGAACCAGGAGCCAGTGAGTTCTCTAGAAGACGACCAGGAGACACTGAATCCCCTAGAAAAAGAAAACCAGGAGCCAGTGAAGTCTCTAGAAGATGAGAACCAAGAGACACTGGGATCTCTAGAAAAAGAGACCCAGAGGTCCTTGAGGTCTCTAGAAGAGGACCGAGAGACGGTGAGACCTCTAGAAAATGAACACCAGGAGCCAGTGGTATCTCTAGTAGAAGAAGACCAGGCAACACTGAGACTTTTAGAAAAAGAGAACCACGAGCCAGTGAAGTCTCTAGAAGATGACAACCAGGAGACATTGGGATCCCTGGAAAAAGAGAATCAGAGGTCATTGGGGTCTCTAGAAGAAGATGACCAGGAGACAGTGAGCCCTCTAGAAAAAGAAAACCAGGAGCCAGTGGAGTGCCTAGAAGAAGGCCAGGAGACATTGAGACCTCTAGAAAAAGAGAACCAGGATCCAGTGGGGTGTCTAGTAGAAGACCAGGCAACATTAAGACCTCTAGAAAAGGTGAAACCAGAGCCACAAATGTCTCTCGGAAAAGACCAGGAGATATTTAGATCTCTTGAAAATGAGAATCAACAGTTATTATGGTTCCTAAAAGAAGAGAGCAGCAAGACAATGAGATCTTCAGAGTCAGAGAATCTAGAACCACCAAAGTCTGCAGGAGACGATTTGGGAATATTGAAATCTCTAGAAACTCAAGAGCCACTGTGGTCTCCAGAAGAAATGAATCAGGAGACAACGAAACCTCTAGACAAGGAAATTCAAGAACCACTGGAGTCTGTGGAAGACGGCCGGGAGACACAGAGGCCTCTAGAAAAGGAGGCTTGGGAATCACTGGGCCGTGTGGGCAAGTGGAACCTAGAGAATCGGGGGCCTCCAGAAGAGCTGGGTCAGGAAAGTCAAAGGTCCCCGACTGAGGAAGAGACCCCCGCACAGACGGGGGACCCAGAGCCGCTGAGGTCTCTGAAAGAGGCAGGACAGCAGTCGCCATGGAGTGCCCACCAGCAGGGGTGGGACGACGCGCTGGGGGGTGGAGAACGGGATCAGGATTCGCCCCCTGGCAGGGCAGCGGCAGGCCAGGAAGCTGAGGCAAAGCCTGTCGTGAGGGAGTCGGGTGGCTTCATGGGGAAGGAGGAGCCTGAGGGATGTGGACAGCTGTGGCTGGCGGCCGCAGGGGAGGCCCGGAGTGCTGGCGAGGGGCATCCGGGGAGCCCGGAGCCCCAAGAGCAGAGAGCGCCAGTTGAGGGAGCCAGTGGGGAGGGAGGCACTGAGGGCTTCCTGGACCCCGAAGGGCCACCAGAGCAAGTCTGGGCACCAGGCATCCAACCTGCCCAGGGAGTGTCTGAGGCGAGAGAGCTGGTGTTGGAAGGTGGACATGAGTCCCCCGGGGGGGACCAGGCTTCCCCAGAGGTCACTTTGGGGTTAGGGACAGCTGCGGGCGAGTCTGCCGCGGGAAGCTGGCAGGGACCAGAGTGGGAGGTGGGGGGGCTGGAGGACCCAGGCTGCCCGGCCAGAGAGGAGGGGACGACACCACCCACAGGCAAGGAGGGTTTGGAGGGAGAGAGGAGGCAGGGCTCGGAACGGTCCAGAGAGGACCCAGAGGAGGCAGCTGCTCTGGACCCAGAGCTTTCCACCCTGTCCAGGAGGAGCGTGGACCCCCTGGAACCTTCCAGGGGCCGGGAAGAGGCAGAGCTGGAGGCCCCCTGGGGAGCAGAGTCCGGGCTCCCCGCCGAGACCGAGGGCCCTTCTCACACGGGAAGCAGTAGGGGTGCCCCTCAGCCCGGGCCCCTGGTGTTGGAGGAAGCAGGAGAGGCAGAGCTAGTGCTGGGGCCCACTGAGCCCCGGGCGCCCACCCCTATCCCTGGAGATGCCCCTGGGCTCCAACTCCTGGCTGAGGGGAGCCGGGAGGCTGACTTGGGGCTGGAGGGCAGAGCGGAGGCTCTGGGAGGGGTGGAGGGGGAGCAGGAGGGCTTGGATTCTGAGGGCAGCGCTGAGGATCTCCAGGAGGGGGAGGAGAACAGAGAAGACAGCGAGGCTGACGAACTTGGGGAAACTCTTCCAGACTCCACTCCCCTGGGCCTCTATCTCCAGTCCCAGGCCTCCCCCAGGTGGGATCCGGTTGGAGAGCCGAGGCCCTCCCCGCAAGGGGAGGCCAGAAAGGAAGGCTGGGGTCCTTCTGTCCCGGCCTCTGAGGGCTGTGGGGCCCAGCGAGGGGGCGAGGAGGAGGAGGATGAGGACGAGAACAAGGAGGAGGAGGAGGAATGCGGTCAGGAATCTGACTTGTCGGAGGAGTTTGAGGACTTGGAGACTGAGGCTTCTCGCCTTCCCGGGGTCCCCAGGGAGGCTGTGGAACCTCTGGGCCGAGCTCCTGAGCCTGCAGCCTGGGCCCGGGAGGGCGAGTCTGATGGGTTTGCGGATGAGGAAGAGAGTGGGGAGGAGGGAGAGGAAGACAAAGAGGAAGAGGATGGGGGGGAGCCAGGGGCTGGCCGGTGGGGTCCAGGGTCCTCTGTCGGCCCCCTCCCGGCCCTGAGTGGCCCTCAGAGAGGGAGCTTCCCGGGGTTTGAGACCACAGATGCCACCGTCCCCTGGGATGATGGCATGAGGGACTCGGCAGCTGATGTCCGGAGAACCACCCTGGACACTGAGTCCCAGGACAGCTCGGAGCCCTTGGGCTTGGACGGGGAGTCTGGCCCTGTTTCCCTGGAGAGGGAGGACCAGGTCCCCGACCCTCTGGGAACACTCGGTGGGGTGGGGAACAGCCTGGGTGTCCATGGCCAGGGCCCCAGCCTGAAGGAGGAGTTAGAGCGTGTGAGTGGGGGGGTGGTAAACGGGCTGAAGCAGTCTGAGGGAGGAGGGCAGGGGAAACTGGGGGGCCCCGAGGGGGACCCAGGCAGCCCCTTGGAGGAGCAGGACAATGAGGGGGGTGCCCTGAAGTCCCCTTGGGCAGGACCTCCTCTTCACCTGGGCGTGGGCCAGTTCCTGAAGTTCACACCGAGGGATGATGTCGACTCCTGGTCCTCAGGGGAGGACTAGAGAGAGCTCCTCGCTCGCTGAGGACTCGGGGGGTGTGTGCGTGTTGGGGGGGTCCCTAAGTCCCCTCCCTGCTCAGAGGCAGCACTCCTTAAGTTATGATCCCTCAACCCGTGGCTTCTGTCCCAGAGGCCTGGCCGGCCAGGGTGAAGCAGGGGTGAGTCCTGAGGACAGAGGCCCCGGCATGCACCCCAGCCCGCAGACCCTGCCATCCCAGGAGGCTCCAGCCGGCTGAACCACCGTAGGACTAGGCCCCTTTCCTCCCACACCCCTTCTCCCCTCCTGTCCTCTGGGAAGGGCTCCCCCCAGGGGAGGGGGCTGTGGTGGTCCTCACCGCAGGGCTCTCCTGCCCTGTCCCTCCTTGCTGCACCCTTGCAGGGGGTCTGGCCACTGCGGGAGGGGGTGCTCCCAGGCCCTGACCCCCCCCCACCCCGTGTTCCTGCCGTGTTGTGTCTGGCTCATCCCTGCCTGAATAAAGCAATCTTTGGTCTCTGACATCTGGACTCTTCCTTTCCCGGGGTTGGGGCGTCCTCAGGGCCCGGTGGAGTAGAAGAGATGGGGTGACTGGGGACGAAGCTAGTGCTGGGGAGGGGCTGCCTCTGCGGAGAGAAGGAACGGGAAGGCCTCCCAGGGCCCGGGCTGTGGGGTGGGTGGCAGTCCAGGTGACCCCTGTGCTGGCAGAAGCCAGGGCCATCATCATCTCTGCCCACAGCACTGATGACAGGGATTAGGCTGGGGGCCACCCCACCATCCGCTTCCTCCCCCCACCCGCGGCCCTCAGTGCCGCCAGGATAATGAACCCCTTGCCTCCAAACCCTAACAATCGTCCGGCCTGCGATGTCGGAGCCACAGGGCCGGGTCAGAGCGGGGGGAGGGAGGCTGTGTGGCCCCTGCTCCGTGTTTGACCTCTCTGGAACTCAGACTCAGCCGCAGTGAGGGGCGCTGGGCTGGGTGACAGGGAAGGGTGTGGGGAGTGCCTCCGGGGCAGGAAGAACCAGAGGAGACGAGGTTCGGCCTGGGGTACCCCCTTTCCCTGCCACTGCTCATCCCCGCCCCGTCCTCTCTTCCCAGGAGGGCTCTGGGTCTGTGAGGGCAGGGAGAGGCCAAGGGTTCCCGGGTTAGATGGGGCCCTAGGCCTTGAAGTCAGGATACCCAGAGAGAAACCGCTGGGGCTCTGGCTCACGGCCCCTCTAAGTGTCTGGCTGGGGGCGGGGTTAGGGGCCCCGAGAAAGAAACTTTCCACACTTGGAGGCTGGCCCACGTCCGGGAGCTCTTCCTCTCCCCAGGAGCAAGACTGAGGGCAGGGGGACAATGAGAGGATGGAGTCCCAGCCCCGCTGGCTCCCACTCAGGTCCTCTGGCCAAAGAGGGGTGGGTGGATGGACAGGAGGCGCCCTGGTAGACTCCTGCTGTCCCCCTCTCCACTCTCCACTCGGGAGTCTCTGTCTTGGCCCTCATGTCACACACACCCCTGCCCTTGGGTGCAGGAGTCGGTCCATCCCCACCCTTCTGGCAGCCCAAGGTCCTGAGCTCCTTCCTGTACCCAGTGCTGACAAGGCCGGTCTGATCCCTCCAGCCCGCGGGGCCCCGGGGGCCAGCACTCAGCATCTGGGCAAGTAGGGCCCACCCGCTGCCCCTCTCATGGGACAGAGGAGCCCTGTGCTTGATCTCCCCAGGCCCTCGGGCACTGCCGCCTGGGCCAGGGGCCAAGGACAAGAGGCCATGCCAAGCCGTCCTTCCCTGTCCCCGGGTGTCCCTCCTGCCCCCGACACTGGGATCCCTGATCCCCTACAGGGCCACCCCCACAACCTGAACAGGGGAAGGATGCGAGTGAGACAGAAGTCAGGGCTTCCGGAAAGGGGGTGTGTAGTGGGAGGCGCGTTCTCTTTGGAAACGGCCGTCTATCGTTGCAATAAGAGAAATGAAGGTTGGACAGTAGCCGGGTCATTCCGGGAGGTGGTAAGAGTGAGTGTCGCTTTTCAGGAGACTCTGCTGAGCACCTGCTACGTGCTGTCACTGTGCAGACTCCGGAATCCGAGGTTCCTCGCTCCCTTCTTCTTTTTTTTTTAAAGAGACTTTATTTATTTATTTATTTGACAGACAGAGATCACAAGTAGGCAGAGAGAGAGGAGGAAGCAGGCTCCCCGCTGAGCAGAGAGCCCGATGTAGGGCTCCATCCCAGGACCCTGAGATCATGACCTGAGCTGAAGGCAGAGGCTTTAACCCACCGAGCCACCCAGGCACCCCTGAACAAGGGCTTCTGAGTGGAAGTCACATTCGAAGACAGAGCCGAGGAGGAGGTTATGGGAGCGTAAAACGGGGGACCTTGCCTGATCTGGGCTGGGGGGGAGGGGGAATGGAAAGGATCCCAGTCAGAGGGAATAGCAAAATCCTGGGGCAAGACCAGAGAGCCTGGGGGGTTGTGGAGCAGAAGGAAGGCATGTGTGACCAGAGATGGAGGATGACGGGGGAGAAGGTTCACAGGGAGACTAAGGGGAGTCTGAGTCTCTGGGCTGAGGCCTTGTCCGGCGGCCAGGAAGTGTGCACGTCTTCTTGGGGAAATGAGGAGCCAATGCTGGGCTTGAAGGATGGTGGCATGACCAGGTTTGTGTTTTCAATATGACCTCTGTTGGCTGGGCCAGGATAGGCTTCCGGGTGGCTACTGCAATGGTCTGGGCAGGGGTGCTGGTGGCTGGGGGCATGAAGAGGACAGAAGTAAGAGAAGCAGGATCTCAGCTCTTGGTGGCCTGCCATGGGGGATGGAGGAGTGTGTGGCAGCAGAGGCTCCCAGGTTTTCACTGGGGCAGCAGGAAGGAGGTTCCCATCTTCTGAGCTGGAGAATCTGGAGGGGCTGCCTTGGGGTTCGGAAGAGAGGGCCAGGGTGGGGACAAGAGCAGGAGGATGGGTGGCTTGGGGTCAACTAGAGAGCCCAGGAGAGAGCCCCAGGTACCTACCCACAGAGAGGCCAGGGAATGGGAGGACCCGGGGCCTCGCATCTCAGCGGACCCTGTCCTCTTGGAAAGTTCCAGGAGAGCGTGGGCTTTGTCCAGCCCAGGGTCTCTGTGGGGCCCCGGGGTGCTCAGCAAACAGGTACAGAATGAACAAAGGGAGGAATGAATGAAGGAAGGAAAGAACCGTGATGAGGTCAGACAACAGGAAGCATTTGGGAGGGTGGAGTCCCCAGAGAAGGGAGAGAGCAGGCAGCACCCATCCCTCCAGCACCACCCCCCACCGGGAGGACAAGCAGGAGGTTATTCTGGGGCCTCTGCCGCAAATATAGCCTCGGAGGGGCGGGGGCGGGGTGGGGGGCCGGAGGTGGCTGCCTCCGTTTGTTTGGGGCACTTCCTTATAAGGCCGTCCAGCCTGAGGCCCCAGAGGGTGAGGTCAGGGGCTGAGCTCTCCACTCAGCCAGCCCGATGCTGTCCTTGTTGCTGCCACCACGGCCACCACGGTGCCACCCGCCAGGCTCTGGTCTCCGAGGGAATCAAGGGCCTGGGCTTTGAGCTGGGGCCAAGGGAGCTCCCAGTGGGGCCTCTTAAAGGGGCCGTCCGCCTTCCTGCCTGCTGTGCGTGCCCAGTGCACACTGGGGAGGGTGTCCGTCCAGGATCCTCTGGGAAGATGGGGCTGGGGCCCCGCTGTTCCCCTCAGAGCCCCTTGGCGGAGGCTCCACATGGCTGTGGCTCCCTGTGGTCTAACCTTACACCTCCCGCTGCAGGCTGCCCCTCTCCTGGCCTCTTCCGATCAGAGTGGCCCCTCAGCTCCCCACAGCCCTCCCCCAGCCCCTCCTGGGGGACCAGCTGCTGCCACTTGACCCTGTGGTGTCCCAGCTGCTGTGTCTGTAATGCCATCCTCACAAGGAAGGAGGAATGTGGTTTAATTTCAGCTGGAATACGCCCTCTGGGCTGCCCACCGCGAGGGGAGGGGACGGGATGGAGACCAAGCCTGCCCGAGCCCAGGAAACTCAACTGGACTCTGGGCTTGGGGACAGGCCTCTGGGTCCCCTGAGCCCTGCCCCCACCCTGCAGCAGAGGCCCTGCTCCAGGACGGGTCCCACAGAGGGATGGGTTTCCCAGGGAGCTGGGGAAAAGGAGGCTTCTTGGGTAAAGAAAGGACCAGGTGCTTATTTCCGAGTCTGCAGGCACAGCCTAGACAGAAGAGTCCCAGGGGCTGAGCGGGGAAGGGACTGAATGAAGGTGGGGGAGACAGAAGAGCCTCAGGTGAGGCCCCCCCCCCCCAGTCTGCAGCGGGAAGACAGGGAGCTGTTTCCTCTCTCACATCCACTTCTCTGCCTCTGTCCCCACTGGGGGCCCCTTTCCCTTCCCCGTTCCAACCTAGCACCCCACACCCGGATCACACTTGTCTCTTCTCCAAATTCAGGAGCCTTGGCTCTGGCCCCTTTATCCCAGGGTCCCCAGGGTGGACGGCCCACCTGTAACCTGACAACAGGAGGGGACCCAGACCGTAGAGAAGGCCTCTGGTCTTCTCGGGCAGCCACCAGCCCCGTTCACCCTGCCCTCCCCCGAGACTCAGCTGCAGCTCCAGAAATAAACCCTGCGGCTGCCAGGGGGCCACCGTCGAGGAACCAGCTCCTGGCAGCTGTGGGCTCAGCGGCTGGAGAGCCAGGGCCCCAGGGTCCCGGGGAAGGGCGGCTGCAGGCTTCAGGGCTGGGGAGACACCTCACCAGCTCTGCCCCTCCCAGGCCCTTGGTCAGCCTCGCTCACCACTCACAAGCCCACTCTCCCTCCCCAGCTCCCCGGTTTTGCCTCTTGTGGTCTGCTATCTGCTTTTCTCCCTGTCCCCGGTTCCTGGTTCCTTGCCGGCTCCCAAATCTGTGGGTCTCTCCTGGGCTCCTTCCTTTTCTAGTCAGCTCACGTGTCACAGAGAACTTCAGCTCACCTTGATGGGGAAACTGAGGCACAGAGAGACATCCCCTGCCAATGCTCCTAAGAGCCCCTAGACACCTCTTGGGGTCCCCAGAACACAGGTTAGGGGGCTGTGGGCGGCTCCCCTTAATGCCCCAGTCCCCAGAGGTCAGCAGCCCTGCCTGGCTAACAAGCGCCTGAGGACTGAGGGAAAACAGCAGGGAGGCCGCAGGCCCCCACTCGGACGATTAATTAGACGTCAAAGTCCTTCAGTGGTGTCCTCACGTGCTTCCTCCTTCTTCCTCTTTTCTCATCTCTCCCCCCTTCCCCCGCTTCTTCGGGCTCTGCCCCTGAGACCCTCAGTTCATCCTTCCCGGGAGGAAGCCTCTGCTTTGCAGCCAGCAGAGTGGACGGAGTGGACAGGACATCTCAGGAAGGCCCAAGTCGTCTGGGGGAGGCAGA